AAAAAAAAGGCCTACACACAATTACAGAACTATAGGTCCTAGTGTGTTTCCAGAAGTGTTCAGGGGAGTTACTTCATGCCTTTACTCTGAAAGGCATCAGTATTGAATGAATTGGTGGATGAATAGGAGGTGGACAGATGTTAAAATTTTTTAAATGCTAAGAGTAATCTACATGTACATAGGCTAACTTTAATATACATTTCAACCTTGATATTTGCTTGCCGAAAAATGCTTCTACAGCTATGGAGAGTGCTAGAAACAGTGCCCAGAATGACAGAAACTGATCTTAAAACACAGTGTTCATCACTGCTGTACTTTTTATACATTGAGGGTGAAACACTGTATAATTCCTACATAACTGTTCATTTTGAAAGTCTGGGGATTTAGTCATCATACGTCATCTATCGTGAGGCCACAGAAAAAAACTTGGTACTTGCTGGGCAATTGCATTTACATCAAAAAGATTTGTCTCAGTTGTCTCAGTTAATTCTAGTGTTATTGTTATTGCCGGCCAATGGAAGTCTATTCTAACACACTCAGATCTGAGTAAGAGAATCTTAACCAAAACATGTCAGCTTCCCCCACCAACTCTAATCCTGAAACTATTTCTACTCCATCTTTCTTGCCATATTTGCTTTTGTTTACAGCATTCCTTTTTTTTCCCTTCAACTTTTTATCACAATAATTACAAAAAGGGATGTATGATGTAGATATTTGAAATGAAAATCATGTATAATTTGGGTGGAGAAATGTCAAAGTTAGCATAAAAGTCCAGTTTACACAGAGTTAAAAGTCATTTCTTTGAAAGCCAAGAGAATTCTGCTTTATATGGTCCATTAACTGTTAAATCCACAATGGATGCATATACCTAACCACTAGAAGAACCAACTTTTTCTTTTAGCTATCTTTTATTTTGCTCTTCATTTATATTACAGTTTTCAAGAGGCATCTGTTTTCCCACAAATGACTCAAATTTATCCCTCTTTACAGCACAGTAGTATTTCATTGCATGTAAATGGTACATTTTCTTTATTCATTCATCCATTGATGGACATTAGGCTGCTTCCAAGATTTAGCCATTGAGTTGTGCTGCTATAAACATGAGAGTGCATGGATCACTATAATCTGATGCCTTTAACTCTTTCGGGAAGATAACTAGAAAAGACATAGCTAGGTCAAATGGAATTTCCAGTTTCATTTTTTGAGGAATCTCCAGAATGCCCACTTTTGACTGTTAAGTATCAGAGTTTTTTTTTAAACTAAGATTTTAATTACTTCTTTTGTCCTTTCACTTTCAAGTCTCAACACTTCTAGAAAAGTAGAGCAGCTTAGTGTGGTCATGTTTAATGCACTGTACTCCAACCAGGTGCTGAGCCAGAAAAGTGAACTGAACTGAACTGGTCTCCTCTTCACTGAGAGGAAGAAGCAAACCAGAATCTGTAGAAAGCCGATCCCTCCTGGCAGGTGTAGTGGGAGGGCAGCTGGAGAGGAACGCATTAGCCACAGTGTCGAGGAGGAGGGATCTGGACACCCTCACCCGAGCTGAAACTGCTGGCCCGGACTGCATGAAGCACAGGCAGAAGAGGCTGAGGGTGCTTTCTGTCCCTTGGACCTGCACCTCCTGTGAGTGGCTCCTCGTGCTCCTCCCAGTCCTGGCCAGCAGGCACAAACTGGGCTTGGTTCTCAGGGCAAAGAAGACCTTAATCCACAATGTGGTGCACACAGCACAGAGTCCCTGCTGCACCGTGAGGTGGTTTTTAGCATGATATTTCTTTTTGGGTGGGGACTTTTGTCCCTTGCACCAGCTACTGCAACTGGGACTTTAGCAGCTCCAGTGAAGAAGCCAGGTGGCAATGAGTGGGGCCACGACAGCAGCAGCTGCTTATAGTGTATGACTGAGCACTTGTGGGGAAAGCACACGCTACACTAAGCACTGCCACACCCCATACAGTGCTCTTGGACTCACGATAATGTCACATCCCAATCAACCCAGTGTCCATGGAACATTAGGTCAAAAATGCACTTCATGCACCCTGTCCACCTTAACATGCCAAGAACACTCACAGCCACCTACAGCGGGGCCAAGTCATCTTTGCAAAACCTGTTTTGTACACCAGTGTTGATGTCTGTGCCATGCACTGAAGGGCACTGCAGGTTTGCCCTGGCAATTGTGCAGCGGTTGGCATCCTTAACTCCAGCTCCCGCCCAACAGGGAGAGAGAGCATCATATCAACTGTCCCTATCCTGGGGAAAGATCCAGATTAAACATTCAAAGCTTCTAAGTTTCCAAATTGTAACTCAAACCACTGTAAGTAGAGACATCTGTATATAAGGTCACTCAACCCTCCCATTCCTGAGATTGATACTCACCTTGCTCCTTTACAGATAAGAAAATTAAAGATCAAGGAAGACAGAAAGATTCAGTGGAGATCTCACCTGCTCAACATGAGTTCACTTTGTGTGATTTGACTTCAAAGTTCTTTCCACCCTAAAACACAGCTGGACCTTCCAAGCCAGCCCATCACCAAGATTCACAGGGAAAGGCCTGGGAGAAACTGGAGTCCAGCAGCTTTGCTGCCCATTTCAGCATCAGGATTCTGTAAAATGCTGTGGGGCCTCAGGCTCTCATTTTCCAAAACATACTTCAATTCTCATGATCACTCCAGTTTGGAAAAGACTGTCCAACTGAGATCAAAACAGAATGTAATCAATTAAAAATTATAAAGGGTTCAAGTTAAAATTGTGTGGGAAACCAGACACTATAGAAAGTGGTGGAAGGAAAGATGGGCCCCCAAACCTTAGTATATATTTGAATTACACTTGAGTCATTTTGAAAATGTTCGCCCGAAGTTATGACCTTCTCAGAACACCAGTGTTGGTGATGCTGCTGTCCGACCTGATTTGGAGTAGCAAGGTCACAAATGTTCAGTGCACTAAAGATGGAGATCCTTGGGTCTCAATCACCTATATTTGCCTAGCTCCTTGCATGATCCCCAGCACACAGGAGGAGTCCCCCATGTTTGTTGAATGAACAAGCTTTCCTCCCTGGAGGAAGAATTCTCAATCTCACTGAGACAGTTTTCCAGGGTCCTCCTGGGATCTGCAGGTGTGGGTGCAACTCTTCTTGTCCAGTGTTGACAACAGCACACTCAAGTGCAACTTCTGCTCATTTATATCTCCTTTCCATCCAAAGGTGGGGACCTGCCAAGGGCAAGGGTGACACATCATTTTCTACATGTATCATCAGTGCTGAGGACAGTGTTTGGAACACAAGAATATGTGTGCTCAATAGATAAATGATCAGTAAATGTAAAACTGGCTTTCTATCTCCTAAAGCTGAAGTTGATTCAGCAGTGCCATTTATTTTCCTACCTCCAAGCCTAATCACACATCCTCAGGAGAGGAGACTGAGGTGCACACTGAAGACAAAAGGGGAGAGGGTATCAGGGTGTGCCTGGAGCACAAGACACTGGCAGCAGCAGTGGAAGACCAGATGCAAGGTGTGAGGCTCGCAAATGAGGAAGCGTCTCCCCAGGACCAGACTCAATACATCAGAGCTGTCACAACAGTGGTGCCTCTTGCCATGAAGGACAGCTTCTCTGCTGGGCCGGATGTTTGTGGCCATTGTCAAGGTCACTCTCCTGGCTCCGACCTGGCGCTGAGTCTAGTCTGGCACACGCGCCTTCTCAAAGTGAATTAGATCCCTGCTGCCCTGCCCAGAGTGAATGCCTGGCCCCACTCCGGGCTGCCATACCTGGCCAGGGATGCACTCTGAGGACGGCCACGGCTCCACTCCCTCCTTGGGACCGAGCCACACTTGCTCCCTGACCTCAAACCTGCACACTATTTCAGACACTTGTCACACCCACACCTGTCTGCCACCACCATCATTCTGTCATCACCACCTTTATGTATGTTCTGGGAGAAAAAATATAAACTAAGTTGTGGCCAGAGTGCAGAAGCAGAAACTGAGTTATAACTGTAAAAAAGAAAAAAAAAAAAGAATGAATAAAATGACTTTCTTTTGAAACACTTGAGTGATTAGAAGAAATTCCATCTCAATCTCCCATATGTCGAGTCCATAAAATCACTTACATTGTCACCCTTCCTGGACACAGATCCTGACATTAGCTAATCACAAAGCCAGGCTGGGCAGTGTCCATACAGGCCCATCTTACACCTCTGCTGAAGACCCTGGGCTTCCATCCCTGACATGCCACTGGGTGCATCTGCTGTTTACACACAGGACAGGGGAAGGGGCAAGGACATGCTTTGGAAAGATCTTTTCCAAATCCAGAGCCATGAGATGGGAGGTGGTCCAAAGCCTGAGCAGGACAGCAGCCAGGAAACTCTGCATGTGGGTCTGGCTTTAACAGACTGGCTTAGGGAATGTGGGAGGATGGAAAGTGGGCCTGGGGGTCCTGGCTTTGGGGCTTGTGGCTCTTTCACAGTATTCTGTTTCTCCTGCAGCATTTCTTGATACAAAGCTGTGCGCACACACAAACACAGGCACCCACCTAAAGGTACCTGTGCACACACCTAAGCATGCCCATGCACCCAGAGAGGATGTTTGCAGCAATGCCCCTGTATAGAGTCCCACTGAGTAACACAAACAGTAGGTGTGTCTCAGAGGAACAGCGGGAAAACGGGATGCCATAGGACCTTTTGTACAGGAACACAGTTGCTACTCTAATGTATAGCAGAGCAAAGAACAACTATCACACAGAGGGAGGAGTTGGAGGGGAATTGCTGAAAAACTTGCTCTCCTTTGAATTTTGCTTCACCAGCATCTGGGAAGGACCTGTATTCCTGGCCCTGACCTCCAGCTCTCCTGGAGCACTAGGCTTCCCTCTCTGCTTTCACCCAGAATAGAGAAGGGAGTCGGGCCTGGGCACCTGGGTTGAGCCTTCCTCTACCATCGCACCCACTGCCCCTGGGTCCCAGTCCCCGTCCCCGCCCACCGCCGCCGAAGTCCGCTGACGTCGTCTCCGCCCTGATGATCGCCCAGCGGCCGCGCTATAAAGGGGTTCCCGATCAATCAGATCCGATCGGTCCCCGCCCCGCGCCACGACCCACAGCTGCAGACCTGCTCGGCAGCTCCTGGTCCTTGACTGGCTCTCTCACCCTCCTGCTCCCCCGCACCGCACACCCGAACCCCTGATCCGCCGGTACGCCCACAGCCCTGCATCCTCTACATCTCCCTCACTCCCTGGACCCGACCCACTGTGCACCGACCCACCCGCGCACCCCGCAGGCGGGTGCCCAGAGCCCGCGGGCCCCTCGCAGGTAGGAGCAGGTGC